ACGCCGTACCTTTTCAAGCTATGGAAGAAAACAATGATTGAAATTCTTGGAAATTTTGAATGTTGTTGGAAACACAAAGTGAATATGGCAAAATTTAATAATTGGTATTAATTCTGCCATATTGGGGGGTAATTGTTGACACATAAAAATTCAGCCCAAATCGAACGGCCCAAGGAATGAAGCCCAATTGGAGGATCCCCAAATCAGATAGCCCAAAGAATGAAACCCAATCAAACAATTCAAGATGAAGGCCCAAATAGGGAGGCCCAAGAACGCGGTAATACTATCGCCCAAGTTCGCAAGTCGCCCAGAATCTGAGCGAATGGAGTGACATGCAGTCGCCCGGAGCTGTTACTCTATTCTCGCCCAAACCTTCGAGTCACCCAAGGTCTTAGCGAACATAAAGTGTTGTGGTTATCAAGAAGTGCAGTCATCAAAGCAGTTATTAAAGCAGTCCTATCACATTCCACGATTCAAGGAATTCAATCGAAAACGGTTGAACGACGAAGAGTAATGGCAGCAGTTAAAAAAGGCAGTTCCATGACAAGTTGGCCATTACGAGGAAAGTGTGTAGTTGTAGAACGATCAAGCAGTTTTTAGGCGGTTGATCACAAAGAGATCATCCAGGGAGTATAAAAGGAAGAAAAGACATAGAGCAAATGACCGAATCAAAAACTCTCGAGCAGAGAACATGTAATTTTAAATTCCTTAACTTAGATTTAAACACTTCTTTCAGTAACTCGTGTGCTTGCACTCCTTGGAGGCATTCTGTTTTTAATTTCCGATTGTAAAGTCATCGCCAATAAAGAACACCCCTTTTTGGGACTTTGTTTTAAGAGGTTTGTCGCTTACACAATCATCTGATCCCTTTTAATTGTTAGCGACTAACCCACGCGAAACAATAGTGATCATTAACGTTAATTAGTCAAAAGTTTTTTATTTGGGGTAGCTAAAAATGACATCATATGTATAAATTGAACAACCAAATGGGCCAACAATTGAAATTGTTTTCAATGTAATCTATAAATAGGTGGACCGTAAATTAAGTAAAAAATTATTTGGACCTTTTAATTATAGGGCTTAGAAGTTGATTAGTATAAATTTTTTTATCTTTCCAATTTCTTCAATTTCGGATCAGATATCCAATAAACATAGCAAATAGAATATGAATTTAACAATCAAATATCCATTGGATTATCGGATCGCATAATTATTCTTATCAAATCGGATCGAATATGGACAGATCTTATTTACATCCGATCCATTTACAGCCCTAATCATAAGTATTGGTTTTCTAATAGTAATGATGCTCATTTCATTCACATTGAGAGATAAGTTAGGTGGTTCATAACCACGAGAGAGTTGACAATTGTTTATATAAAGATTTTGGAGGTGTTTCAATGCTTTGAATTGTCTATAGATCTGATCTAAGTACTCATCTTACCTTTATTTATTAATTGATGGAAAGAAGATTCAATTACTCACTTTCCTAAAACATAATTTGATTTATTTATTTTCAGATCAACTAAAGCAAGAACGAAGAAAACAGTTAAAAGAAATAACAAATAAGACAAATTAAGGTGGAATTACTAAACCCTCTTCCATAACTACCATGAAAAATAACTCTTTTTGCATTTTTTTAGTCGATGATATACAGTTTTCTGGTGCAGCAGTTGAGTTTTTAAGAACAAAGTTGGATTGGGAGGATGAACCCCCAAGTTTATATCAACTATTCGAATCTCAGCCAAATTGGTGCCATGGTCAGATTGTACATTCCGGGGTTCACATTTTGGATCCTTTTTATGGAGCGTATGACCAAATATGCTATTTACGAACATTTTTGATTAATAAGGACGAAAGAATATTGGAATTTTGACAAGAAAAGACAAGTTATTTATGTTAATTTAAAAAAAAAGTATGTCCTTTTTAATTCTATCTTGAACTTGGTCTTTCTTGAGCAATATTGTCGTATAGAAAGCTGTGCTCGTATTTGTATACCTTAGAATGATTTCAATGGAATATTGACAATCCGATATGTATTTATCATAAAACAAAACTGATGCATTCGAGTCAATATTAAGATCCAAAATACATGAAGAAGTTTGAATTAGTGGAAAAATGAAAATGAATTAATCTTTGTGCTAAGACAGTAGCAGTGGGTGCACCAAATCCTGAATAGGGTTGGACTAAATTAATTTCAAAATTATTGGTGTCTTAGTTGACCCAAACAAAGCTTACAAACAGAAGTTCAGTATAAAAGACAAACCCATATTACTAGTTTCTTCAAAATTGAACCAACAAGAGGGATGGATCCTTTAATGTTTCTTAGCTTTTTTTTTGTGCTAAGTTTTGCCTTTTCTACAGCAAATGCTGAGATACATTTCCATGAATTTGTTGTATGTCTAATACTTCTTCTCATCCTTAATTTCTCATGTTCCACGACTATATTTTCCTGCCTTACTAATAATCATGTATGTAACAGGTTCAAGCAACGCCCGTGAAGAGGCTGTGCAGTAGTAACAACATAATTACGGTCAAAGGACAATTTCCAGGGCCAACGTTGGAAGTTCGAGATGGAGATACTCTTGTAATTAAAGTCATCAATAGTGCACGTTACAACGTTACACTCCATTGGTACTTATCATTTTAAGCATGTGCGTCGATACACGAATATATATTAACTTTGTTTGATCGATTTCTTGTTTTCAACTCTTTTAGGCATGGAATTCGTCAATTGCGAACACCATGGGCAGACGGTCCAGAATATGTCACCCAATGTCCGATTCAACCTGGAGGATCATATACATACAGGTTCACTATTGAGAACCAGGATGGAACATTGTGGTGGCATGCTCATAGCAGATGGCTTAGAGCTACAGTTTATGGAGCACTCATTATATACCCGAAACTTGGCGTTCCATACCCCTTCACAAAACCCAATAAAGAAATCCCTATACTTCTCGGTAAGAACATTAATATTGTATTTTGTTAAACTGTATGAGACCTTGAGGCTAATCATAATGTAGACTTGTCCCGATATTCGTACTTATGTCTTGGATTCTTTTTTATATAAATGGGACTATCTTGAGCAGGAGAATGGTGGAACAGAGACATCATTAGTGTACTTCGACAGGCTCAGTTTACGGGCGCAGCTCCAAATGTTTCTGATGCATACACCATTAATGGGCAACCTGGTGACCTATACAAATGTTCTAGCAAAGGTTTGGACACTATAAATCTGTCTGAACTGATTATTACAATTTTGTTAAAATAGAAAATCCTGCAGGCTGATATTTTCTTGCTAACAATGTAGAAACTGCGAAATTCTTCGTGAAATTTGGGGACAAAGTACTTCTTCGAGTCATCAATGCTGCGCTCAATCAAGAACTCTTCTTTACAGTTGCCAACCACATGCTAACCGTGGTTGGGAACGATGCAGCCTATAACAAGCTTTTCACAACCAGAGTCATCATGCTCGGGCCTGGACAGACGACAAACGTCCTCCTTTCAGCTGATCAACCTGCAGGACGTTATTATATGGCGACTCGTGCATATGCTACCGCCCAAAATGCACCGTTTGACAATACAACTGCCACTGCTATTCTAGAATATGATTCTGTTCCCTGCACTGCCAAAACTGGATTAGCCCCAAGACCATTGTTGCCACCACTTCCTGCATTCAATGACACTCCAACTGTAACAGCATTCACAAGCCAAATAAGAAGTCTTGCTATGCAAAACGGTCAAGTCCCTACTCAGATTGATGAGAACCTTTTTTTTACTGTGGGATTAGGCCTTATAAACTGTATGCCTGGACCAAGATGCCAGGGGCCAAATAACACGCGCTTTGCTGCTAGCATGAACAATGTATCCTTTGTCCTTCCTAGGAGGACGTCCTTATTGCAAGCGTACTATCAAAACATACCAGGTATCTATACCACGGATTTCCCACCTGTCCCTCCAGTGATTTTCGATTATACAGGCAACGTAAGTCGTGCACTCTGGCAACCAAGGAAAGCAACTAAGTTGTACAAATTGAAGTTTGGTTCAAGAGTACAAATTGTGTTACAAGACACTGCTATTGTCACAACAGAAGACCATCCTATTCATCTCCATGGATATCATTTTTATGTTGTTGGCCAGGGTTTTGGCAACTTTAATCCAAACAGAGATACGGTGAGATTCAACCTCATTGATCCTCCTGTTCGCAACACAATTAACGTGCCTGTTGGTGGATGGGCAGTTATTCGATTCGTGGCAGATAACCCAGGTGAATAACGTGGACATTCAAATAAATCTATCTAGGATTTCATCTACTCTATTTTTTTATGATTTCCATTTTGCATTTCAGGAGTTTGGCTTATGCACTGTCACATAGATTCCCATTTAACTTGGGGCTTGGCTATGTCGTTATTGGTTGAGAATGGACCCGGAGAGTTGCAGTCGTTTGAGGCCCCTCCGCCGGATCTTCCTCCTTGTTAGGACCATTACTGCTGCAATGAGTTGTACTTTTATCTGAGCCTACCATTCTATTTCATTCACTCGTTTCATGTTAGTTAGAGAGGATTGAGTAGCACTACACAATATTAAAAAAAAAAAAAAAAAAAAAGCTAAAATCTTCTTCATTATACAGTCTAATCTATCCAGTTTTGTGTATCAAGCACGAACTTACTGTACTTGACATTTTTAAATGTAATTTTCAAAGCAGGGGACTACCTCGTTGATCAAATATCTCAATTTAAAATTGTGAGAAGAAGCTGTATCAGATGAATTGTCTTAATTCAACTGTTGTAAAAAAAACTCTTTAAACGCACCCAACAAATCACATTTTTAATTGTAATTACAAATGATAGATGATCTCTAAAGATCTAATAACTTTAATGAATTGTTCCCATGCCCAGTAAACATTATACACAATCGAGCCTTTGAAATTTTAAACGCACAATCGCATTAGACATAGTTTACTCTACTGAACGATCATTAGAACAGAAGTGCACCTATCTCTGACAAGAAGTCGTATACTGTGCATTGCCAAAATGTACAAATTATGTCTAACGAATAAGTTGATTCTTTTCTATTGATGAACATATATACAATCTGCTGCCATTATGTACGGAAAGAAAATCTTTTCAGAAACTACCTGAAGCACTCTCTTGGTCTCTTAGAATTTGCTGTTGCACTACTAAAACAGAACCTGGGCTGCCGAAATCCGCAGAGGCAACAAAATCTCCTATAATTCCAAGCTCATTGTTTTCACCCCAATACGATAATCCTCGTAAAAGAGCAGGATTTATCCCATGCTTCCTTCCAACAATCCAAAGATCATAGTATACAGTATTCATCGCCTGAATTGCAGCAATGGTTTCTAACCCATTCTTCACCACGACTTCTTGATAAACAACCTGATTGTTTCGTTCATTCTTCACCCAAAACCATGTCACCAGACCATCATCAAGTTTCTTCTCCATCTTGTTTTCTCCCTCGTTGTTATGTGTAAGAAATCTAGTGACAGTTAACGATACATCTGGATTAGCAGCCACTCGATCTGCATAAGCTAGTGCCTCTCTAGCATCCGATCCACCCAAGAAAAGAACAGCAAAATGGTGAGCTGAAAGCCTAGCGGAACTGTTCACAAGATGTTTTTTGTAACAACTTCCTTTATTCACTAGAATTCCAACTGAGCAAGGTGCGTGTTTCAAAATGTTTGCATTCACAGATATATTTCCTTGTGCCAGCAATTCTGTTCCATTGAAGTTGTTCAAATGTTTCTTGTATAGTGGCAGGATTATTAGAGAAGCTTTTTTAACAAGTGCTAGCTCACAAATATCTTGGTACACGCTTCTCTTGGAGGTTATTGTAGTAAATGAATGTATCTTTATGTATTTACCACTGGCCTCCTCAAAAATTTTCAAAGCATTATAAACCGAATTGAAGTCAGCATCAGAACCATTTTCTTGATTCTCGTGATCTATGAACACTGGGGCAGCACGACCCTCAAGCTCCATGAGGCGTAACGCATAAACCTTGAAAGGACTGTTAATGGTTGGATTGGAGACTTCAAGTAAGTTAAAAACTCCAGCCAAACTTTCTTCACCATCTATGCAAGCTACAATATGGAGTTCTGTATTGGGAGGGGTATGCTGAATAGTTCTTCTCTTGTTAACCATATAAGGTCTTGTGGGATCATAGAGTACACTTATAAGTGGTGTAACTATAGAAGTCACAGTAACTGTCAATATTACCAACATTGAGAAATGTGGCTTAGCAATCATCTGCAAACAAGAAAAGTCTGATTAATGTCTCTAATATAGTGAGACAATGCGATATAAGGCCTTCTATGTCGGCTAAAATCTGTCACATAATGCCATCGTGTCAAAAAAGAATACTACAACAGTAATACAAACCAATACAGAAAGGCAAAAAATTAGCATAGCAGGAGAAAAACCGAATAAAACAATGAAACACTACATACCTTAAAATCCATCCAGTGGATGAACAATAGAAGCTCCACTTCCCCTCTTAAACTCATTATGAGGCTAAGGGTGAAACTATCTGTAATCGACATGTCAAAGAAACGAGAAGCAATAAGAGTCGAAACCGTTTTAGCCATATATGCGACTAAAGCCATGTAAAACAGAGGTTGCAGATGTGACCATTGGGTAATTATACTGTACACATCTGTGGTCATTCCCACAAAAATAAAAGAAAATGGCATAAGTAGGTCCATTATAATAGTTTCACTCTTCTGCACTAGAGTGGCTCCCAAAGGAGGGCCATCTGGAACGGCCAAACCAAGCCACAGTGGCCCGTTTGCCATGGCTAAACCACCCATATCAGCAACAAAACCGGCAACCAGAACGCCCAGTAATATGCCAATCACATAAATTTGATCAACCGGCTTTCCTTCAGGTGTCGTTCTTACAATCCATAGCATGGCCTGTCGAACACCACCAATAATCGATACCATAACAACTATTAACGAAATCAAGTACCACAAAGCAGTTGTAGTCCTCTCTTCTCCTTGTTTACATGCCTCAAACATAATTATCCCTTGAATTCCTATAATATCACTAATTACTGCTGTTGATAAAGCCATTCGTCCGATATCAGAACTAAGAAGATTGAGCTCTCTCACTATAGGATAAAGAACAGGAAATGCTGTGATAGACAAAGCCGATGAAACTCCCAAAACTGAAAGAGCCGTTGCAAGTTCTTTCTCCTGAGATTTTCTTAGTATAATTGCTGTAATTCCAGTAGTACAAAGTGGTACAAGCACCCCAGACAGAGCAATATACCAATGTTTTTTTCCTACTCTCTTTATCACAGAAAGATCCATTTTCACTCCACTCAAGAAGAGGAAGTACATGAACCCTATTACTCCAATATTTTTCAGCACAAAATCTGAATCTTCAGGGAACATATATTCACGAAATCTCTTCTTCCGGCTTAACACAGATGGTCCAAGTATAATGCCACCCTAGAAAATTATACATCCATTCAAACATTACAACGGTAAACAGCACAATATTAAGATTCATTCATGAATCTTGAAAATAAGAAAAAATCATCGAACTTACAAGGATATAGGAGACAACCATTGGCTGTCTTAAGGGCTTGAGGAGAAAGCGAAGAATTCGAGCAATGACTATGAATGTGACAACTTGTAATAAAACAAGAGGAAACGAGAATTCTAATGGATTTTGTCCATGGAAAACTCCAAAGGTATGGGAGGTGTGTTTTTCATGACATACAAGGAAACCTTTCTGGATCAGTTCTGAGGGTTCGGCGAGGCCAATTTTCACCATTTCTGTCAGGAAAAAAAAGGATTTAGGTTTGTCTCTTTGATGTTCATGGGTTCGTAGGATGTAAAAATGTTGACCTTGCTGTCATGCATTCATTACTAAGAAAAAATCATGCAAACCTGCGAAAGTTACAAAGAGATCTGAAGGGTTGGACATGCGTTAGTTTAGTTAGTTTAATTTTAGTTATCCTATGAACGGTTGGTTAGTACTTTGATTACAAAGACGACGTAGAACAAAGAACGAATGGATAAAGATAAGGTAATAATATTTAATATATATAATTAGAGATAATAATTAAGTGATTAGAAAATATTACCATTTAATTTAAACAACATTTTGGTATTACATGAATATCTAATGTTTTTACAAAATATTGCTACAAAGGTTTCTTCAAATGTTGCTTAGTCGTGTAATATTCCCTTGGTTGAAAGTTTTTTCAAGGCATGCCCTCTATTTTAACTTTGAATTAGAAAATAACAGATCATACTTTTGTTGGAATAGAGACAATTGGCCGAGTAGAACTTTAACACCCCATTGAGATTCCAAGGCAGAAAACGACAGGAATATATATGAGGATAGATTGTAAGTGTAGAAAGGCTTTTAAGAGCACAAAATAATAATAATAATAATAATAATAATAATAATAATAATAATAATAATAATAATAATAATAATAATAATAATAATAATAATAATAATAATAATAATAATTAAATTTAAAAAAAAATGGGGATTGGCAAAGTTGGAAAATACAATAAAGTCCATTGATCTCATTGAACCATGCTAGAAACGCTTGTGAAAGCTGCTCGTGAATGAAGAAAAACATTGTTCATGTAAAGTTGCTTAACGACCCACCCATTAGAAAGGGAATGGATAGAAGATCGTATAGTAGTGAGTACATTACGGAAAAGTCTTGATATAAATAAGTACGTACAATTTTATGTTTACCGTTAAGTATAATTTTAAAAGTGATCATCAGATTCTACAATTGCTAAATTTTATAATAGTACAAATTAAATGGGAACGTTCTTCCTATACATGGATTTAACAAGTATTTTTGACAAATAATCGTGATCTTTAGATTAAGCAAATCCAACGGTCAATATGTATTTCACTAAGATTATGGGAGAGTTAGTTATAACTACTTGAGATCCATGAGATACTAACCGTTGGATTTGTTTAATCTAGGTCACGATTATTTGTCAAAAATACTTGTCAAATCCATATGTAGGAGAAACGTTTCCCTAAAATAAATATTTCAATACATATATAATCTGAAAAAATATAATCATTTGTGAATTCTCCACTAGCTGAGTTATAAACCCTTGTATTATGTCACCCTTTTCTAATCGATTATTATTCACTCACATTGTCTTGATTATTTTCTGATTTATACTATCATAACATTTAGCAATTCTAAAATCTGATAATCACTTTAATCATAAAATCTTTTGTACTTGATTCTAAAGAAAGCAATATATTTATATTTGGATTCAAGCATCCAACAATATTATTTTGATTAAGCTAACGAGGCATCAACTCTCAAGTGCCATTGTTTGCAAAATAATTTTATTTGTATATAATGAAGTTATATAACGATTTATATACAGATGAAGTGTCAAAAAATGAGTGATTTTTTTATTTGATTGAAAAAATTCCGAGCCAATCATATATCACCATATCAGGTATATGTAAATTATTATTTAATTTATTATATATATGTAGCACAATCGCTCTTTATAAGAGCTTCAAGCTCTAATACTTAGTACATATTTCTAGGGCAGATGAAAAATTCCATTTTCATTTTTATTTTAAAAATAAATTAATTTGAATCAAAATCTAACAATATATTTTAAATTTACTAAAATTACTTTGGGTTAATTTAAATAAAAACCTTCCATTTAATACTAGTCAGCGGAATTGCAGCCGTCAATTTGCAGGTCGTAGGAATGCAGGTATAACATTAAAGATAGACAAGTATTTTGACATGTTAAGTCCTCCAATTTATAGCATTCATGCTAGCATTGTTTCTACTTTGGACCACAGTAACTAATATCTTTAAATCCTGTATTTTTCCAAATGGCCCATTAATTATTCTTGATGTAATGTTGTTGCCAGCTACTTGTTGGTAAGGTTTACTCATTTCTATTAATATCCTCGACTGAGTAGACTTGGATCGTGTTTATTACGTCGAACTCTATAGTCAATATAATTGAACATAATTAATCTTATAAAGTTCAGAATATGTCGTGATGAAAAACATATTTTTGGAAAATATTTCAATCTATAAGGTATAAGTAAATATTTGAGATCCGTAACAATACACACTTGGATCATGTTTATTATGTCGAACTCTATAGTCAGTATAATTGAACATAATTAATCTTATAAAGTTCAATGTATGTCGTGATGAAAGACATATTTTTGGAAAATATTTCAATCTATAAAGTATAACTCAATATTTGAGATACGTAACAATACCCAGTTGACTAGTTGATGATGTATTTGTTGAGCTAAAACAAAGTTGAAAACTAGATAGATTATCGCAACTTATTCTCGAATTATGGTATAAAATGAACCAAGAGATTTTGTTTCAATAATTATGGTATAAAATGAAGATGAGAAAGATTCCAATGTAAAATATATAATGTAATTGATCTAGTTGATTGAAACTTTCTTCTTACGTATATATTGCGAAAAGAATTGTAAATGAATAGATGCAATGTGCCAAGAATTTTACAATTTTCAATTCAATATGTAAGAAACACAATTTGCTCTCTTTTATGAAATGATTAAACGTAAATACTTCTATTATATAATGGCATAGATATGTCAAATGTAGGGAGATGCAATCACTTTATCCAAAAATTATAGTTCATGGAAGATGTTCAATTCACCCTATATCATTAAGAGCGAGTCTCAAAAATTCATCGTAAGTCGACTCTGTTGGGCCTCACTTCGAAGCATACCTTAAAAAGAAGACATCAAGACATATGCAAATAGCGATCAAAGGCACACCTTGTTTCAAACATACTCCTACATTGTACACACAGTCAATGAATATATTCTAATATCGTCTCGAACATAAGATATCCAGATATAATAACAACAGATGTAGAGAGATGTAGTCACTCTACCCAAAAGCTATGGTTCATGGAGAAGTGCAACCTACCTTATATTACCAAAAATTAGGCTTATGAATTCAATGCCCACTCAATTTGGTCCTCCCTTTGAAGGACACCTTATAAAGTCACCATTGGACTATACCCAAATAAAGACCAAAAGCATAAATAATTATGTAGGGTATTGCTACAACTTTGCTCAAAAACTATAAATCATGGAGGAGGTGTAATCCACCAAATATCACCCAAAATCTAGTCTTTAGCAATCCACCCCAAGCCACTCCTTTTGGGCCAACCCCTTGCCTTTCAAACATGCTTATGCATTATACACCTATCAAATGGAAATGCTCTAACATCAACTTGAATATGAGACCTTCAATCTAATACCAACTAATGTAAGATATTGTCACCACTTTGTTCAAAAGCTATAGTTCATGGAGACGGTACAATCCACCCTATATCATCCATAATCAAGATTAGGAAGCCACCCCAACCCATTTTACTATATATATATATATATTTAATCTTATAAAGTTCAATGTATGTCGTGATGAAAGACATATTTTTGGAAAATATTTCAATCTATAAGGTATAAGTAAATATTTGAGATCCGTAACAATACACACTTGGATCATGTTTATTATGTCGAACTCTATAGTCAATATAATTGAACATAATTAATCTTATAAAGTTCAATGTATGTCGTGATGAAAGACATATTTTTGGAAAATATTTCAATCTATAAAGTATAACTCAATATTTGAGATACGTAACAATACCCAGTTGACTAGTTGATGATGTATTTGTTGAGCTAAAACAAAGTAAACTAGATAGATTATCGCAACTTATTCTCGAATTCAGCTTCTGGATTTCCGAAATAAGGGCGTCAAGGGGTGGTATAATTGACCCTCCAGTGTTTTCAGTTGTTAAAGAGAAAAAAACGACATTTGTATATAAACTGCATAAGCATAGAGTACTTTCTTAATAATGGAACCTTCAGTGTTTAAGTTTTTAGAGAGAGAGAGAGAGAGAGATCAATGTTTGAATTATATATAAACTGCATATGCATAGTGTGCCTTCTTAATATATGGAGAGGCTATGGAGGAGAAATCTTAACTGGGTAGACTCTCATTAACGAATTCAGATGTGATTGAACGTAATTTCATCCCACAATGTTCTACTTAAGTAGGTGAATCTTTATTGTGCACCATCAAAATGCCAGTGTTCTACAAGGATTCCACCACTGAGGTGGTCGAGCTCGAGACAATATGGTGTTGCGTTCCATGAACCACGTCGGCGGTCAGCCCCGAGGCCCTGGATGGTAGGTCTTGAGGTGAGAATGATGTGTTGGTGAGACGGGGTTCAACTTGAGTCTATCCCATTTTTGCGATATAACTTACTAACACGTTAGATTCATCTACCATATTCAAATTAAGTTTAGATGATTATTGTGATATATCAATTTTCAATGAATTTATTCATCTTTCAACGTTTATATTAAGACACCCGTTAGAAGACTTTGAGTTTATTTTCTTCAAAGCTAGTAA